TCTCTACTAAAAATAGAAAGAAATTAATTGGCCAACTAAAAATATACATAGAAAAAATTAGCCGGGCATGGTGGTGCATGCCTGTAGTCCCAGCTACTAGGGAGGCTGAGGCAGGAGGATCACCTGAGCCCAGGAGTTTGAGGTTGCTGTGAGCTAGGCTGATGCCATGGCACTGTAGCCCAGGCAACAGAGTCTAAAAAAAAAAAAAAAAAAGAAAAGAAAAAAAGAAGCTTATCTATAACCTAGTCTTCAATGGGTATCATTTAATAAATACCTAACAATATATAATAATAAAGTATAAAGCCTCTCTGGACAAAACAATCATTACTTTGATTCAGGATCCCCCCTACTCTGATGGCCTTGAAGAGGGCAATTTTAACCCTTTGTACTCAAATGTCGAGTGTGACTCGACACGGTTAGCAAAAATTATAGAGATTAAAATTACTCTTTGAATGTATCAATAATTTGAAATATAAAAAAATCCAAATAAATAAGTTTGTATGAAAAGAAACTCCAGTTTTTTATTCTACTGCCGCAGTTTGTAAAATCTGGGGTATTTAAAAAATTAAAACCACAAGTAGAATAGTAATAGAGAAAAAAGCAAGCGAGTGAAAGGGGTAAGACTATTAAGTGACTGTGTTCCTACTCTGGTGGCCTTGATGAGGGCATTTTAAGAATATTCAGTGATTGTGTTGGCTTTGGCAGCACATATATTAAAATTGGAATGATACAGAGAAGATTAGCATGACCCCTGTGCAAGAATAACACTCAAAATTAAATATAAAAATTAAAAAAAGAATATTCAGTGATTAAAAAGCATTCACCCTCCAAATGACTTAAGGGTCTAAAAAGAAAAAAAAAATTAAAAAAAAAAAAGCATTCACCAAGTGGTGATAATTGCATAACCTTGTGACTATACTAAAAACTACTGAACTGTACACTGTAAAAGGGTGAATTTTATACTAAGTAAATTATATCTCAATCATTAAAAAAAGAATAAAGTCCTTCCCACACAAAAAGGCATTTAGCAAAACCAAACACTGAAAAAGAACATTTCTCTTTAAAATTCAAGTTTCACAATACAATTGGCTATATTTTAGAGACAATTCCCCCTTTGAAGAAGTACTGTGGAATGCTGATTTTATTTCATACTTATTTTTTAATGGCACAGTTTTGAATGGCATTGAGGGTGGCAGGGTACAAACAATACCATATTACTTTAGGAAGCCCTGGCTGTTCTAAAGTCCAAGTAACTTTGACTAACATTGCTAAACCTGTTTCTCATCTAACAATAAAAAAGACAACTAGGCCAGCATGGTGGCTCACTCCTGTAATCCCAGTACTTTGGGAGGCCTAGGCGGGAGGACTGCTTGAGGCAAGGAGTTGGGGACCAGCCTGGGCAACATAGCAAGACCCTGTAAAAAATAAAAAAATTAGCCAGGTGTGGCGGCATGAGCCTATAGTCCTAGATACTTGTGAGGCTGAAGCAGAAGGAAAGCTTGAACCCAGGAGTCTGAGACTGTAGTTAGCTACAATTAAGCCACTGCACTCCAGCTTGGGCAACAAAGTGAGACTCTGTCTCAACTGAAAAAAAAAAGACAACTAGGTGAAAACTGGAACTTAAAATAAGTACATTCTATTAGGGAAAATGTTTGTTCTAGTACACATTAAGCTTTTTCTTCTACATTTTCATTCCTTCAGGCCCTCTATTTTAATGAGAATCACTTGGCCAATTTACTTAGGTCTGTAGAGAATTGCACTTAAATGAATTACACTTAAAGGGATTCTACTTAAATCATTTCTTTGGAAACCTGTGTTCTTTTTTTTTTTAATTTCAGCATATTATGGGGGTACAAATGTTAAGGTTAGATATATTGCCTTTGCTCCCCCTCCCCCCTAGAGTCAGAGCTTCAAGCATGTCCATCCCCCAGAGGGTGCGCATCGCACTCATTATGTATGTATATTCCCATCCCCTCCTGCCCCTCCCACCTGCCCAGCACCCCATAAATGTTATTCCTGTATGTCCTCTTATGTGTTGATCAATGAGACCAATTTGCTGGGCAGTACATGTGATGCTTATTTTTCCATTCTTGGGATACTTCACTTAGTAGAGTGTGTTCCATGAAACCTGTGTTCTTAAATTTTCAGAGATCCAAGGTCAACACTGAATCCCAAATTCTGACTTGGAATGGCTGGAGACAGACGTAACCAGCAGCCTTCCAGTGAGTGAAGGTGAATGACACTTTGTGCAAAAGCATCTTCCTCTACTAGTTGCTCAAGGCAGCACTGTAGGTATTTAAAAAAGAAAAAGTAAAATAGACAAACCAACCTGTTTTCAGGAGAAATGACAGATACTCATCCTAGTCAGGCACATTTTTAAAAGTTATTCTAGGGGTCTGATCTCTAGGGTCCTTCAACAGCTTTTCTGGTATCTATTTTAAAAACATCCACCACAAATCTCAACTATAGGTTAACAACAGAAGAAAACATGCTAGCCCTATGATTATCCATTTCCTCGCTATCAAAAACCTTCTTGGTTCCCCCTTTATAAGTTTCAGGTGAGGTGCTATATCCAGCCCCCACCCCCTGCTTTTTCTAAGCGTCATTCTCTGATCATAACTTTTTATGGACCAAAAATGGTATAGAACATGCAATCGAACAGTCCTACATAATTCTGGATCTTAATTTAGAAAATCCATTTTTTCCCAAGTAGATGTCATATACAGGATAACTTTTTAAACATTAACTGATATTTTGGTAGAAGCAGTTGGTAAAGCCAGTAACACCAAAATAGGTTTCCGATTAAAGAAAAAAAAAGTTTGCCATAACGTAGGGACTTTTTTTTACTGACAACTTCCCTACAAATTTTTATATTTCCAACTTCTAGCAGTGTCAAAGAGAAAAGTTCTTAAAGTAAAACTACAAATTAGCAAATACCAGGAAGAGAAAAGCTTTCTGTGTAAGAGGTAATGTCTAGTCACTCAAAAGTGACCATCTTATTAGACCACTGCTCTATGGATGGTTGTCCCTTGTGACTGGCTGATGGCTAGCCAGAGAGGCTGTAAATGGAGTCCTGAGTCTAGCCAGAGTGGTGCTGGTGGCTCCGGAGTAAGGAGTGAGGGTAAGAAAAAAATGCATTGCAAATTCCATTTATAGGAAATCAGGCAGTTTGAGGAGCTGGTAAGTGAACTAGTTGAGGTAGTGAAAATGGCTTGATGTAAATCAAGAATTAAAAGCTGGCCAGGCGCGGTGGCTCACGCCTGTAATCCTAACACTATGGGAGGCAGAGGTGGGAGGATTGCTCGAGCTCAGGAGACCAGCCTGAGCAAGAGTGAGATCCGGTCTCTATCAAAAATAGAAATAAGTTAGACAGCTAAAAATATATAGAAAAAATTAGCCCAGCATGGTGGCACATGCCTGAGCCCCAGCTACTTGGGAGGCTGAGGCAGAAGGATTGCTTGAGCCCAGGAGTTTAAGGTTGTTGTGAGCTAGGCTGACGCCATGGCACTCTAGCCGGGGCAACAAAGTGAGACTCTGTCTCAAAAAAAAAAAAAAGAAATTAAAAGCTAAACTTCCTTGTTCAAAAGGAAAACATCAACCATGCACACAAGTAAAATACTACAGTCAATAAAACAACCAAATCCAAACTCTGTGTTCACATGCCTACGTCACAAAAGTATTTCTCCAAACTCTATCCACAACCAGAGAGCAAACTGTGGCAAGTTTCTGAAGAAATCAAACTCCAAGAGCACTTTTACAATGTCCACTTATTTAAGAAATACCACAATACAGAACTTTAAGCAGAGAAATCAACAATATGCTCTCACTTAAAATGAGCTGGAGAAGTCTGTGATCTGGCCCACCAATATCCTGGCTAAATAATGAAAGGTCAGTCTTTTTCTTCCTTTTTCATTTTTTCTTCAAGGTAATGCTGACAGTCCCTAAAACTCTATTATGAGAAATACTTAAAGTTCATTCATTTGATGCTGCTACAAAATCAGCACCTGAAAGCCTGCTACCTACCACCTTAAGCAGCCTCTAAATCAGAAAGACTTTTAAAGACGGAACTTAACTTGAAATCATACAAAGTCTGATTTAGATACGGTCCAAAAAGCACGTGACAACTATTAAGTTATAACAAATGCTCAAGTGTCTGAAGAAACAGACTAGATTACTGACACATGAACACCAAGTACTTGGAATAAGGTCAACGATTTTATAACAATGAAAATTCTAAACATGTCACTGACAAAGAAGAAAAGTCTAAGCCCCACTTAAAAAAGACACACAATACAGTTTCATACCACACATTAAGTGAGGAATCCTAACTTTGTGACACTTTGTGAAGTTTCTAAGAGTAAAAAGATCTTCGTATGATAGCCAACAGTTTCTGCCCGATCACAAGACTGCAATGCATCTTGGGATTCCTTCAGGACGGTTCCGTGCCATAGATATTTAAAATATAATTACAGTTTCAATAGTAGAAACTGCAGCAAGAGACGCTGGGCCTAAGGTGAATGGAAAACTCAAGCATTTGTCCTCCCCACCTCCTCAGACCTCTCAACGCCCACCCGACTGACTCCTGCCTCCTGCCTCCATCTGTCCTCCCTTCTGGGCCTCGTGGCAAGGACCTGCCGCGGTCCCCGCTCTGTCCCATACGGTTCCCATTTCCAAGGGTTAACAACCCCCCCCACACCCAGGGCAAGAGAGGGGCGGGACTCAGGCCCAGGGGGCCTTCCGACGCACTGCCCCGCTGCCCGGCCAGCCGTCGCGGGCGCCCCACGGAGGCTGGCTCCCGGGCTCCAGGCCGCCCCACCCAGACCGGCCGGCGCCTGGCGCTACTGTCAGCACCCCACGTGCCGGCCGGGCCCCTGGGCCGCGCGTCGCCCGGCCGCACCCCCACCCCCATGTGGGCTCCAGCCCCCAGGCCGGCTGCTCTAGCTTTCCCGGCCCGGCTTCCTCCCGCGTTCCCGGGGTTGCCCCGCGTCCCAGCCCTTTACCCGAAGGGCCTCCCGCGCCGCTGCCGGCTCCGTGGTTGTTGGTGGCGGCGCCAGCAGAAGGTGGCGGAGCCTGGGCCGGACCACGGAGGAAAGACGGCACGAACTCGGCGGCGTGGACGTTGGGCACGAAGGGCTTGGCGTTGACGTTGAGTTGCCGGCTGAAGGCCGCACTGAGGTGCTCACGCTGGGCCTCGGCCCCCGCCGCCGCCATGGGGCCACCGCCGCCGCCACACGGGCCCGGCCCGGGGGCTTCCATGTCCGCCTGGTCCCAGCAGTCGGGCGCCGACTCGCTGCTGCTGCTGCCGCTGCTGCTCCCGTCGCCACCGCCGCCACCGCCGCCGCCGCCACTACCCGGATCCATGATCGGGGGGGCCGTGTGTGTGGTGAAGAGAGGGCGGGAAATGGAGGTGGGGGCGACCGACCGGGGAGGAGCAGGCCGCGCTGACCCGGCAAAGGCGGCGAGGCAGAAGGGCCGGGCGCTAACGACACGATCCCCGGCGTCGCCGCGGCGGCAGCTACAGTCCCGACTCCGCACTCACGACAGCGGCGGCGGCAGCTCAACCCTCCTCCTCGTGTGTGCCAGCGGATCTCCTCCCACCCAACCCCAACCACTTCGGACTGCTTCACCGCTAACCCCACGCCGGCGCGGATTGACCCTTCACCGCTTCCCGTACCTTCGCTACGGTAGTTCCCCACCCTGCCCGCCCCCGTTTACGGCTATTTAGCGCGGCAGAGGGCGGAACTACGAGTCCCGGCAGTGCCCGCGCTACCCCGCTGCGGTTTTCCCCGGGGCCGACGGGAGTCGGAGTTCAGGTACTGGCCGCGACCGGAAGCGGCTCTGTCTCCCAGCAAGCAGCGCGAGGAGGCGGACGTCTAGTGGCCGCTCGGCGGCTCCGTCTGTCACCAGGTGGGGGTAGGGGCAGGCCCTGGCTCGACTCCGGGCTGGCGGAGGACCGAGAGTAAAGCTTTTAGCCGATAGCGGGCGTCCACTCCAGCCTATTAGGCACAGGGTGCGGGAAAACGGACAGTATATATAACGTGGGAAAAAATACACTCAACTCCTGAAAATTCCTTCCGTCTCTTCACCACCATTCTGAGTTCTCTGCGTCGTCTCCCTACCTTGTGCTTGTTCTCTCCACCTTCCTTCTCCCCACCCCCAGTCAGATTTTGTCCTGCATTTCAAAGCCGATGCTGATTTCAAAGCCGATTTTATTTTATGTAATCATTTGGTGGAAGAGACAATAAAACTGTGAGATGTTACAACTTAGACTGCAATGTAGCTTATAAAGCGCTGGGGCCCAAGCTCTGCCCAGGCAGAAGGGATCGTTAACTGGAAACTTTCAGTGACTCACTGTTTGACTAGTCATTTAAAGCCTTCACCCAAACTTTTCCATCCGCTCCTCCTTCCTGTTAAGGGGTTTGCAAATTAAACAGAGGATTGCCGTATTCCATGATATATCCGCTGTACTACAAGGGTTATTTTGGTGAATCCAGCTTCCTTTCTTGTGCACCATTAGGTGGTTTCCTTTTGAACTGATTTGTTCAAGCACCACCATAGCACTCTATTGACTTCATCTCACACTTACAAGTTGTGATTAGGTAAACATGGAAAAAGGAAAAATCAAAAGAGAAATACTTTAAGTTCACATATTGACCCGACTGCATGAAGTAGTAAAACATGTTGCTCTGAGTACCTGTTAAATTTTTCTGTAATTCATCCATGTGGAGCCCAAGACAGAGAAAAACATATTGTTGTTCTTTTTCAGAAAGGAGTCTAGACAGAGTGCAAACATGCCTAGAAATTACACAGTAAGGGAGTAACACAGAGAATAGATGTTTATTAACAATTTTAGGTTGTTTTTTTTTTAAAAAAAGGAAGAGCCAGGCGCAGATGGCTCACGCCTGTCAATCCTAGCCGACCTGGAATGGCCAAGCGGCGTGGAATTGCTCGAGGTCAGAGTCGAAACCAGCCCGAGCCAAGACGGCAGAGCCCCATCTTCTACTAAAAGTAGAAAGAAATAACTGACTGACTAAAAATAATAAAATAACAAAAAATTTAGCTGCTGGGTGGCTGCATGCCTGTAGTCCAGCTACTTGGAGGCAGGCAAAGATTGCTTACCCAGAGATGAGTCTGGAACAGACGCTGATCCCGGCACTCAACTCTACCTGGCAACAAAGTGAAACCTTTCTCAATCAATCAATCAATCACTAATACAACAACAGAACATATTGTAAAAAAGAAGAAGAACTTGGTGGGCGGCCTAATCCTGTAATCCTCAACCTGGTAGGCCGAGGCAGTGATGCCAGTCCGAAGTCCGAGGTCGAATAAAAAAATAATTGGCCCAACTAATAATATGCTAAATAGCCAGCAGGCACGTGCTCTGTATCCCCACTACTCGGGAGCTAGGCCGAGAGATCGCTTAGCCCAGATTTAGTTGCGTGAGCTAGCTGATCAGGCACTCACTCTACCTGCAACAAATGAACTCGTCCAAAAAAATATAACGTACAATCAGATCTGAATTTAATTAACTTTCCTATGTAAAAAAAAACAGACTCAGCCTAATGAGATAAGTCAAAAATGAAGTTGTCAGTTACCTTTTAAAGCAAGTACTACACTATAGTGGTTTAAATTTATGTTTAATATTAAACTAGCAAGTTTTATAAATGCTTTTCTCTTAAAAACATAACACTTGGATAAATGAGCACTGTAAATGTAAAGAAACCAGAGATATCCATTACAACATGTGGCTGATCTTAAGTTTCTCATCAAGTCTGTGGTCCAGGCTCCTTGAAATCTTATGGAAATTGTTTGCTTATTTACCATTGGATGATGTGTGCCTCTGCTTAATATAAGGTTCTGGTTACAGCCTATTAATATAGAAGACCCAATCCTTCTTAAGAATGTCCAATTTGGTTGGGTTTGGTGGCTCATGCCTGTAATCCCAGTGCTTTGGGAAGCCAAGGTGGGAGGATCACTGGAGGCCAGAGGTTTGAGACCAGCCTGGTCAACATAGCAAGACCCAGTCTCTAAAATTATCTGGGCATGGTGGCATGTGCCTATAGTCCCAGCTATTAGAGCAGCTGAGGCAAGAGGATCACTTGAGCCCAGGGGTTCAAGTGATTTGAGGTTGCAGTGAGCCAACATCATGCCACTGCACTCCAACCTGGGCAGCAGAATGAGACCCTATCTCTAAAAAGGAAAAAAAAAGAATGTCCATTTTAAAGTTGGTATTAAGTGATTGCCCACAGATTTACTTATCTACCTGTTGGTCTGAGTGCAGTGGTGTTTATAACTAATTGATCACAACCAGTTACACATTCTTTTGTTCCTTCTTCACTTCCGCTGTCTCACTTGACCAGCTTTAAAAACAAAACAACCAAAAAAAAAAACTTCTGCCATATATGAGAGAGCTGCATTGCTATGGAATGAAATAAGCATTTTCATCTTATAGTCATTAGAAGAGAATAGGCCGGGCGTGGTGGCTCATGCCTATAATCCTAGCACTCTGGGAGGCCAAGGCAGGCGGGTGGATTGCTTAAGGTCAGGATTCCGAAACCAGCCCGAGCAAGAGCAAGACCCCGTCTCTACTCAAAAAATAGAAAGAAAGTAATTGACCAACTAAAAATATATATAGAAAAAATTAGCTGGGCATGGTGGCACATGCTTGTAGTCTCAGCTCCTCGTGAGGCTGAGGCAGCAGGATTGCTTGAGCCCAGGAGATCAAGGTTGCTGTGAGCTAGGCTGGTGCCATGGCACTCACTCTAGCCTGGGCAACAAAGTGAGACTCTGTCTCAAAAAAAAAAAAAAGATTTGTACTCCCAAACCAGTTCTAAGAAAATATCAACACAACCAGCTGACTCAAATAGTGAACCACAGGGTCCTTTCCCAACCATTTTGTCTTTGGATGCCACACTTCTCTGTTTCACCCCTAGGGCACCATATGATCACTCTTGGATAGGTTAGTTCTTCACATCTAATTGAATTAGTGGAGTTTCTTTGTACCTGGTGCTTTTTCTAGGGACAGAGGCAGAAACTGCTAAGACTGCTGCTTAGAAAAGCAGTTGATATCATTAACTTCCTTGTCTCTGAATAGGATAATTATGGATATTAAGGAGAGAAGCCACTCTGTTGGTTTTCAGAAGCTTTGACCTGCCAGGCACAGCTCCAGCAGGAGAGTAAAAAATCTTTCTTGTTAATTAGTGTTGTGCCAAGACAGATCAACTCAAGGGCAGGGTCTTTTAAAAAATCTTCTTTACCAGCACTTTCCCTTTTTAAAAAGAAAAAAAAAAAATCTTCTTTATATTCCCACTGCCTTAGTATAATGCCTGGCATATAAAAGGTGCTTAATAAATGTTAAATGGGATGGTACTGCCCTTGTATATTTACTTAAGGCTGTTGAGACACAGGACTAATAACTTAGAACAACTTAGGAAAAACCAAAGTGTTTTCCCTGCACTCACACACTAGTCACCACTCAATAGGATACAGTTGTCCATCAATATATTCGGGGACTGGTTCCAGGCCCCCCTCAGATACCAAAATCCAAACATACTCAAATCCCACAATCTGCCCTGCAGAACCTGCATATACAAAAAGTCAGCCCTCCTTATACTCAGGTTTCTGCATCCAGAGGATACTGTATTTTCAGTCCTAGTTTGGTTGGGAAAAAAAAACCTATGTATAAGTGGACCCACGCAGTTCAAACCCATATTTTTCAAGGATCAACTGTACTTCACATCTGGTCACCAAAATGTGGGGGGTTTCTCTTCACCAAAAACCAATTCTCCAATGCACATAGAGGACATCAAATAATTTAACTCAGTTCTAACACTAGCCAGAGTTAGTGCAGACCCCACAGGTTATTAAAGGCTCAGTCCCATAAGACTGCCCCCACTGCAGATGCCAATTGCAGGTCCCCAATTGTAACCTGTGCTTCTGACCAACTGGCTATAAATTGGGGGTCCCCACGACCTCTACCTCAGATTCAAATAATTTGCTAGAGTGGCTCACAGAACTCAGGGAAACACTTCAGTTACAATTACCCATTTATTATAAAGGACATTACAGAGGCTACAGGTGAACAGCAGGTGGTATGCATAGGGATAGGATATGCATATAGGGCAAGGTATGTGGGAAGAGACATGGAGCATCCATGCCCTCTCCACCCACACCACCCTCTTGGTCCCTCCACGAGTTCAGCAACCCAGAAGTTCTCTGAACCGTATCATTCTAGGTTTGAATGGAGGCTTCACTATGTAGGCATGTTTGATTAAATCATTGGCCTTTGGTGCTTAACTCAGTCTTCAGCCCTTCCCTCCCCAGAGGCTGGGGAGTGGGTCTAAAAGTTCCAAGCTTCTAATCATGGTTTGTCTTTCTGGTGACCAGCCCCCTTGTAGGAGCCCAACAACTGTCACCTGGGACATTCCAAGGGATTAGGAGCTCTGTGACAGGAACTGGACTCAAAGACCAAATATTAGAACAAAAGGTGCACACAGCACCCCTATTGCTCAGGAAATTATAAGGGTTTTAGAAGTTTTGTGCCAAGAAACCAGATAGATATCTCTTATTGTATTGGAATATCACAATGATTTTTTGTGTCACGCTTCTTTCACTTAGCATAATTTTTTTTTGAAACAGAGTCTCACTCTGTTGCCTGGGCTAGAGTGCTGTGGCATCAGCCTAGCTCACAGCAACCTCAAACTCCTGGGCTCAAGCAATCCTGGTGCCTCAGCCTCCCAAGTAGCTGGGACTACGGGCATGTGCCACTATGCTGGACTAATTTTTTTCTATATATTTTTAGCTGTCAAATTAACTTCTATTTTTGGTAGAGACCGGGTCTCACTCTTACTCAGGCTGGTCTCGAACTCCTGAGCTCGAGCAATCCTCCCACCTCGGCCTCCCAGAGT